TTTACTACTTGAAGAGAGTGAAACAGATTGAACAATTTTGGGAAATAGTTTTATATTTCTGGAATATTTCTATGCCCCATGACACAGAAATTCCACTCCTAGTTAGTTATTCCAGAAGAATTTTCACACATGTATACCAGGAATACTTCATATCAATAATGAAACAGATTGAACAATTTTGGGAAATAGTTTTATATTTCTGGAATATTTCTATGCCCCATGACACAGAAATTCCACTCCTAGTTAGTTATTCCAGAAGAATTTTCACACATGTATACCAGGAATACTTCATATCAATAATATCTGTCATAGCAAAAAAAACCCTGGAAAGAACCAAAATGGACATCAATAGTAAAATGGAGAAAGAAACTGCTCAGAATTGGACACTACAAAAATGAAAATTAATGAAGCAGAACTAAACATAAATATTAAAGAACCTTAAAGAAAATGCTGAATGGAAGAAGCAATTCACAGAGAAATACATACAGTATAATTTCATTTATATAATGTTCTAAGAGACAAAATAGTATATTTATAGGGACACAGACGGTGAAAGTGTTAGTCACTCAGTCGTGTCCAACTCTGTGACCCCGTGAACTGTAGCCTGCCAGGTTCCTCTGTCCATAATATTCTCCAGGTCAAGAATACTGGAGTGGGTTGCCATTCCCTTCTCCAGAGGATCTTTCCAATCCAGGAAAAGAACCTGGGTCCCCTGCATTGCAGGCAGATACTTTACCATGTGAGCCAACAGAGATGGCCAAAAATTAACAGAAAAAGAAATGCAGGGAATACGAGATTCTGGAAAGGGAACATACTGCAATGAAGAATGAAAATGAACACTTCTTAGTGTCTCATTCCTTAACCTGGGTGGTGAGTATAAAACTGGGTCACGTTATTCATTAAAAGGTACCCTTAAGCTGCATACACTCTTTTTATGCATATCTCATGAACTCATTTTTCCTGTTATGATGAAAGCAGCCTGGGGATAGAGAACCTTGAGTTCCCTGACTTTCTGTGGTTCTCTGCCACCAGGTGGCAATCACTCGGCAGCTCCTCAGCTTTCAGTGCACTCATCCAGGATGCTACTGCTGTAAACGGCCCATCCACCCGGCACTGCACCCACGCATCCATTCCCCCCACACACAGAGACAGAGAGAGAGAGGAACAAAGAGAAAGAGACAGAGACCAACAGACGAGAGAATTATGTGAGAGACACACTACTGGTTTTATTCTCAACACTGGAGCTGAGAGGAAACAACAAAACAAAACATTTGTAATGCATAACTGATAGTTCATAAAACACTCATGCTCATGCCAGGGAGACAGGGTATGAATCATCAGGATCAAATAGCTAGACAGGTATGAATCATCAGGATCAAATATTTTGTAATCCCAAAGAAAAATATCAAAGACATACCATCATGTACTTCTCAGTACTCCACATTAGATTTTTCATTTCTCACTCCAAGATTAAAACAGATGCTGAATGTAATAATATGATAAAAGCAAACAGGGAAAATAACGAACTAAGAGTGAAGAAAATGGATGACCAAAACCACTCATGCTCATGTGAGTAAGAAATATGGGAATTAACTGGAAGTCTGCATAAGGCAAGAATAGATTCTCCATGTTCTAACTCTATTCCAAGAAGAAAAAAAATCAGAAGTTTCTTCTCTGGAGAAACAGTAACAACCTCAGAAGGAAAAACACTCTACTCAGTTAAGTACTGAGGGTCCACGAACATTCATGTGTCACTGTAAAGTGAGAAGACCAACCCATGTGTAAAGAGTCCTGAATCAACTTTTTTACCCTTTAACCTTAAAGATTAATAAACAACAAAGACTCCTTATATATCTGAAGAAATATTCCAAAAGAAAGAGAAACTAAAACACAAAAAACAAAATGACCATTTAGAAAGAGATAATAATGTAGGGAACTTGAGAAATCTTAACAAAACAGAACAGAAACAAGCTACTTAATATATTTACTAACAAAATAAGACAAAATAAGAACTGAATGATATGAAAAAGGAAAGGCATACAATAAAGAACTCTTAGAAACTGAAAATACAACTGCCAAGGTAAATGATTCAACAGAAACAGGGAGCTGGAATACGAAGGTGAGGAAATACACCAGAAAACGTAATCAAACTCAAAGAAAAGGAAAATATGAAAGAAAGAAAGACTGAAAACTTAACTCATAAGTTCTAGTTTGGATTACCAAGAATTCCAGAAAGATACACTCAGACACCCAGAGAAAACAGGATAAATAAAATAATCATAGAAATGACTTAAGGAAATTTCACACTACATGAATCTTCATGAATCTCAGTGATTACCCATACATTAAGTGGAAAATGAACAAGTACAACAAAATTTAAATCCCAGGACATCACTGAAACTGTAGAATGCCAGAAATAAAAGACTAAAAATCTCCCAGAGAGATTAAAAGCATACAAAACACAAGGTAAAATGGATTAGAATGTAGAAGACTTTTCTCAGTGGCTAAACTGGATCCTAGAAAAGTAATGACTTCAAATTTCTAAGGAAAAACTCATTTCTATACCAGCCAAAGTATTCCACCCCTGCCAAACTATTAATATAAACTAAATATGAAAGTAGTAAGAGATTTCAATGACATATCAGCTAGGAAAAAAAGTACCAACCATTTGCCCTGTCTTAGGAAGTAAATTAACGATATATTTCTGATAAATATGAGAGCAAACTAAGAAAAAAGAAAATAAAGTTATCCAAGAAATAACAGTCCCAATCCCAGAAGATGATGAAAAAAATCTCTGTATGATAATTCTAAAGACATTTAGTAACCTGTTCAGATTAGAAAAGACTGGCTAAAGTGGAGAAGGAGAGAAATATTGCTTTTTTCATTAAGCTTCTGGATACTATGTGATTTTTTTTAAAACCATGTACACATATCACACTGAAGTTTTTACAATTACTAAAAGAGAAAAATTAAGAGGCAGTTATACTGCCTAATACTGGACTAATGCAGCTTTTAACTTCTATCAGCATTCTGGGAAATGTTAAAGATGTCCTAAACAGATTCTGCAGTTTTCTTCTCATAACTTGTTTTCACTGCATAAACAAAGGATAAAGTCAATTTGATCAACGTGTACTATCTAAACTTTCATTATGACAGAAAAAAGCCACTAAAATATTCACAGTTTTTTCATAAAGTATCCAAAAAATCATTTTCCGCATTTATGGTACTTATCATTGGTTACCAATCCACCTAGACTCTCCTGTATTATGCTACTTCTCTCATTACTAGAGGTGGCTCAGCCTTAATTAGATGATTTCAATCATGCTTCATGTTTCAGGGCAAAACACCCAGACATAAAACAGGGTAAAGCTAGTACTAACTCCAAATACATATTTAACACATTTCAGCTACTTCTCACCTCTTCTACCTTTTCTTTCCAATGTCGCTGAAGCTCCTGATCAAAAAATCTTCTCCCCAGACCAGCAAACAGAGAAATGCTATGAACTGAATCTCTCTCCTAGTTACAGTTAAACTAAGGTGTAAACTCTGTCTGGGTATTTGATTGAATCTCTTTCTGCCTTAAGAGAAATCTAAGTATCTCAGATCCAAAAAGGATTCTCCACTTTCTTCCACCTGGCCTTACACAGATAGGTGTCTTTTAAGAAGGCAGTCAACTATCAGGGCTTCCCTAGTGGTGCAGTGGTTAAGAATCCTCCTGCCAAAGCTGGGGACATGGTTTCGATCCCTGGTGCAGGAAGATCTCACATGCCGTGGAGCAACTAAGCCTGCGCACCACAACTACTGGGCCAGTGCTTTTGGCCCTGTGCGCTAGAGCCTGTGATCCACGGCAAGAGAAGCCACCACAATGAGAAGCCCCCGCGCTGCAATGGAGGGGGGCACCCCCTTCGCCACAACTACAGAAAGTCCATGCATAGCAACAGAAAGTCAAAAATATATGAATAAATCTTTTTTAAAAGGGGGACTACTCAAACTACTCAAATATCTACAAGAATAGAGAAAAGCAGTCCAGCAAAGCCATAATTGAGTAATATAAAATGATTTACATGACTAAGAAGATATTCACAGTAATTGTAGTTACTAACAGAGGAGCCACATTTCATTTCAAATAGCCTTTACTGAGCATTTATCTCAACAGCCTCCAAATGGTTTGGATGGCCACCAGAAACTCTAAGACGTGGTCCCTGCTCATACAAGCTAGAACATACAATCCTGAGGAAGGTAACTCAAAAAGTAAGTTGTGCAGAGAATCCAGACAGTTCTTTCTCAACCATAATTTTAAGTTAAACTTGCCCAGTCTACAAAACACAAATATAGATTTAAAACTAAAGATATCCCTGACTTACAGTATTTTATTCCTTAGTTTTTTTATTTATATTGGACCCTTTCTGTCTGTGTTAACTGTTCAAACCAAGAAAATACTACTGAATCAGAAGTCAGCTTCTACTAGCAGCTCACCATGTGGACAACCACATCACTGCTCTGAGTCTATGTTTTCTCCAAAAAAATGAGAAGACTGGGGAAGTTTAAACTTGAAGATTTTAAACTAAAGTGGGATTATGTGACTATGATTATATAAAATGCTGTTTCTTATTTCTCACTTAGCTGAACTTATAGTAGCAGCCACTGATGACTGAACACCTACTATGTTTCAGGTATTTAAGTCACTCAATTTGTAACCATGAACTCTAGCTCTCTTAACAACCTTACAACATAGGTACTATAAAAATGAGGAAACAGAAGCAGAGAGCTCACCAAATATTATATAGTTCATAAATGCTGATGACTTTACAGAGACCATCATGCAAAACCCCAAGTGTTTTTCCTCAGAAAAGTTTCTGTTAGGTACTATTTATGACCATTATTTCTCCACAAATCTAAATAGTCATTAGAAACTCAACTTTACTTAAAAAAAAAAAAAGTAAAGTCAATCCATTTGCAATTCAAAATATCAGAGTTGAAAATGTTCCCTATGTACTAACCTGATGCAGCAGCCGTTTCAGCTTGAGTAATTGAGTTTTTACAGCAGTGCAATCCTGAACCATATGCCGAAGGGTCATCTCATCCAGTATCACCGTATTTTCTGGTACATCTACAAACATCTTCTGAGCCTGGAAAAAGGGGGTCCCTCCAAAGCTTTCAAAATGACCCAAGGGAGATTCTCTATAGGGAGAGCCTCTGGAAGGGCAGGGGAAGAAGTTGGAGGGAAAAGATATACAATATAATTTCAGAAAGAAATAAAGATTATGAAATTATTACAGTGATTATTACAAATCATTTATTATCACAAAGCCTTTTGACTTTGACTCATCTCAGATAGTGAATTTGTCTTCACTGAAAATTTAAATCAATTCTAGTTGTCATTAACACAGTTATCATCTGCACTCCCTTCTTTCGTGTATTTTACACGTTGGTTAAGTAAATCTTACTCCTCAGGAACTAGAGTAGAAACAGAAACCTCTGGGAAAAGGCCTTGCCTAGAAAAAATTATATTTATTTTACTTTTCTGCACTGATTGATCTTTAGCTTTTAATTTTAGTTACTCTCTTAAACTTCACATCTTTTTTTAGCTGTTACCCTTGTTAATTCCCAGTTTGGATATACCTCTGGACTCCTATTTCTGGGAAGTTCCAGCAGATAGTTAAGATAAATACAGTGTTATTCTTCTTTTGTTTTTACATTGCTGATAAACCATCTTTTCCAGTAAAGATTAAACAAGGTTTCAACAAAGTTATACACACCACATATTTCCTAATCTTAAACTACCTTTAAAATATCTACTCTTTTTAAAAATTTTTTTTAAAAATTTTAGAAGTTTCCTTTGTTCCACATAGTAACACACATGTTGAATAAGAGGAAATAAAAACTAGGGGTAATGTGTTTCGTGGACATGAAAAACACAGTTTTTTAACCAGAAGTCATAGCTATAGCAATCTAAAAATTACTGCATTCATATTATACATAAGCCCAGTTACTTTTTAATATAACAACTTGTGATATCTGTGAAATTTCAATATTTAAAATAATACACTAAAAAAGTATTCTCTCCAATATAACATCTACATTAACATATCAGGATTAAAGTTAAACTAATGGATGCATTAAATTTCAAAAGTAGAAATACATTTTCTAATAAATTTTCTAGGTTTTAACAAATATTCCCAAATCTCTAAATTCTCAAATATTCAATATAAGCGTGGTTTTCATAAGGTTATTATTCTTCTCTGAAGCTACTTCTCATACTTGATTTCAGGCCTGATTTTTCTTTCAACCCAAGAAAGAGATTTTTAAGAACATTTAAATTGCTGATCCACAGATAAGACCCTAATTTGTTCACATTTAACTATTTTATCTTTATTGATTCAAAATATAGTTGAATTATTAAATTTTAAATACTGATAATTATTACTATGACTTTACCATCTGTAACTGAATAGACAAGATGAAAAATTTTTCAAGTAGTAAGACAAAAAGAATCATTTGGCAAATGAATAGTAGAGACAAGAGTTATGTTTTTGGAGAAAGAGTTGACATACTTTGGGAAATTGTTTTGAATAGGAAAGAACTTGGGATGAACTATAAAGTATGAGGTTTGAGTTGGGCAGAAATGAAAGGTGAAAGCTTTCTAGAAAAACAAAATGAAAAGAAATGGCAGAAAAGTGCATGTTTTTCAGGGACAAGGAGACTCATTTATGGCTTACTGCTGCTAAGTCGCTTCAGTCGTGTCCAACTCTGTGCAACCCTATGGACAGCAGCCCGCCAGGCTCCTTTGTCCACGGGATTCTTCAGGCAAGAATACTGGAGTGGGTTACCATTTCCTTCTCCACATATATGACTTAGGGGACCACAAACAGCCTGAATCCAATTCATTCTTCTACTTCAACCCTCAATATACCTGCCTCCCTCAGACCGACATTTTAATCCATAGCCAATTACCAGAGACTGCCAAAGCATGAATGAGGAATGGAATAATGGCTTATATTAGATTTAGGCATAAATGTGAACCACATGGAAGGAAGTGATGAATTAAAAACATTTCAAAGGAAGAGTCAAAAGGTCTTGATCACTAACTGAATATAGGGACAAAGAACTGGCACCTAGAGAAGCCAAAATAGTATAAAAGACACTGCTCCAGCCTAGAACTTAAGATTTTATGTTGGCTGATAGTAACTAGCTATTGAAAATACTCAGTATCTTTGGGCCATAGATTCTCAGTGCTGTCCAGCGCCTACCAAATAAAGTTCATATTCCTTAAGTTGCATTTCTAATACTTCCACCATGAGACCCAAAACTAAACTCATATCTCATCCAAGTCTTAATGCCCCTCAACTAGATAAAACTGTTTTATGATCCATAACTTATTTTATAGCATAAATGAAAGAAACCTGCATACATGTCACCTCTAATTGATCATAAGCCCTTTGAAAACAAGGACTTATTCATTTCTAAATTATCCAGTTAATGCAGATTATCTGAGTTCAAATCTCAGCTCTGTCACTCACTAGGTATATAACACAAAGGGCAAGTTCCTTTATCTATGCTTCATTTTCCTGACTTAAGAAATGAGAATACGAGTATCTCACTAGGCTGGTAAAAGGATTAAATGAGGTAATAATATATGTTAAAGTGCTTGGAATGGTGCTTGATATATAATAATTGTTAAGACAAAAACCAATTACTGATGTATTACTATTATTATTACTATCAATAATTTCTAACTTCTTTATTCTGAAAATTTTTTCTAACACAAATGTCAAAACAACACTATAATGCCACATACCCTTCTCCTAGATTACCCAATTGATAAATGTTGACACAATGCTCTATTAACATGTGTGTAAATTGTTACTAAACCATATGACAGTAAACTGGAAATAACATAACATCTCAATGAAGGCCATTTGAAGGTTGCTGGGAAAAAAATGGATATAATTATATATAATTGAGAAAGTACAGAGACAGAAGAAAACAAAACTGAAAGAGAAAGCAATTTTATGCGAGGCTATTTTCAGAAAATAAAAAGAGACTGTTTAAAACAGAAGGAAAAAACAAGATAATGAAGATTTTGAGATTTCACATTCTGAGAAGATTTTCACAAAGGAAAATCTGAATCTTTGAAAAAGAATGAGAGGTAAAAACATGAGACAGAGAAGAACTGGACAAAATACATTATGTTAGCTTGACAGTCATAAATTTGGACTTTTGTACAAATTTTAACAATCATTGACTTCTAGAAGGGAAATTAGGTCATGAGAGCAGCAGAAGACTTCAAGCTGCTTTGGAGAAAACACTGGAAGGTGAGCAGTGTTTGCAAAGGCAGAACCTATGTGGTCAACCACAGGCCAAATAGGCTGGAGGATATGAAGAATTGAACCAATACAGGTATGGATGAAGGTAAAAATTACCTCAACAGTTAAGAAGCATAAGAATGAAATGCTCACTATCATTAGTATAATTTAACATTGTTCTCTAAGTACACCCAATAAAATCAACAACAACAACAAAAAAAGGATCAGAATAACTACAGAAAGGAATCTGTAAGAAATAAACTTTTTCAAAACCAATTTAAATTTAAACCATATACAGGAGCAGCACCTGATAGTCAATCCACACATCAAATAATCACTTGGATGCATAATCACTTATTGCAATTTCAAAGTAATCTCCCCAAATTATATGGCTCTATCCATACATTTACATTCTTCTCCACTTCTATCAGAGTTTCTTTATGACTAAGATATGTGACTTTCGTGTGAAACTGAAGATTTGTGATTCGTAGGTTAGAATGGTGAGTGGAGAGAGAGGGAGAAAGAGAGAGATTTGGGGATTTTTCTTTCTCATTTATCTCCTAATCTCAATCAGTTTGACTTCACAAAACCTTTAGCTTTTTTCTCACTATTAATAAAAATGGTATATTGGAAGTTAAACGCATGTATTTTTAACATCATGGTTATCTATTCTTTAATGCTAGATCCAACATAATCTCAATTAAAATTCCAACAAAATATTCTGTGAATATTAACAGTGATTCTCCAGTTTATATGAACAGGCAAAAGACCCAGAATAACCAACACAATACTGAAGAAGAAGAAAGTCAGAACACTGATACTATCTTACAGACTTTCTGTATCAACTGACAGTAATCAGTGGTAGAGGCAAAAAGATTAATGGAACAGAATAGAGGGTCCAAAAATTCACCCATACATACAGTCAATTGATCCTTGATAAGCAAAAGAGTTCCAGAAAAACACCTACTTCTGTTTTATTGACTACACCAAAGCCTTTGACTGTGTGGATCACAATAAACTGTGTTCTTCAAGAGATGGGAATACCAGACCACCTGACCTGCCTCCTGAGAAATCTGTTATGTTGGTCAAGAAGCAACAGTTAGACTGGACATGGAACAACAGACTGGTTCCAAATTGGGAAAAGAGTACATCAAGGCTGTATTTTGTCACCCTCCTTATTTAACTTATATGCAGAGTATATCACCCAAAATGCCAGACTGGATGAAGCACAAGCTTGAATCAAGATTGCCGGGAAAAATATCAATAACCTCAGATATGCAGATGACACCACCCTTATGGCAGAAAGCAAAGAGCCTTTCTTCAACTAAAGAGCCTCTTGATGAAAGTGAAAGAGGAGAGTGAAAAAGTTGGCTTAAAATGCAACATTCAAAAAACTAAGATCATGGCATCCAGTCCCATCACTTCATGGCAAACAGATGGGAAAACAATGGAAACAGTAAGAGACTTTATTTTGGGGGGCTCCAAAATCACTGCAGAAGGTGACTGCAGCCATGAAATCAAAAGATGTCTGCTCCTTGGAAGAAAAGCTATGACCAACCTAAACAGCATATTAAAAAGCAGAGACATTACGTTGAAAAAGCAGAGACATCACGTTGCTGACAAAGGTTCATCTAGTGAAAGTTATGGTTTTTCCAGTAGTCATGTATGGATATGAGAGTTGGACTATAAAGAAAGCTGAGCACTGAAGAATTAATACTTTTGATCTGTGGTGTTGGAGAAGACTCTTGAGAGTCCCGTGGACTGCAAGGAGATCAAACCATCTTCCTAAAGGAAATCAGTCCTGAATAATCATTGGAAGAACTGAAGATGAAGCTGAAGCTCCAATACTTTGGCCACCTGATGCAAAGAACTGACTCATTGGAAAAGACC